GTGGTCCTTATTACTGACTGTACCCCTTGGTGCGTTTCAAATGTTTCATCAAAAATGCTGTGTATTACCAAAAAACCTTGCCAAGCCTGTAATAAACTTGCCCAGTTATGACTCCGAAATCGAATTAAACTATGAAGTTTGCATTTAGGTGTGATCACACAAACTTGTGCTGCTGCCCCCCTCCTTGTAGCAGAGGGCTGGGGTTGAAGTCTGCTTAGTGCTGGAAGTGGTGATCAGTTTGTGTTCCCCCGTCCCCTGTCCTGCACGTCACTGTTCCTGTAAGGTACCTACAGAAAAGTGGCTCTTGAAATACTGGTATTTTTGTAGTTGGTTTGTTTGAACGTGGAGAACTCTGGGAATAATACAAAAGCCTGAATTATAGTGACACGAAACTTTGATTGTTAGCAGCTTGAAAAGATTATGCTGAAAATTGGTTAGCTTTAGTCATCTTTTTATAAATTGTCTTTTAATTTTAATCTGTTCTTGCTGGAGTTTGAAACTTGAAATACATCCTTGAGTCTCTTCTAATCAAATGCGGTGAGTATGAAGCTTCACGAATAACAGGATTATTCAGAAACTGTTTGTGAGGGTGTTCAAAGCTTTGCGATGATTTCGGTAAACAAAAACATTAGGTTTGCTTTGCAATGTGTTACTAATTTATACGAACAGTCTTGCTTCCCTGTTAGAAAATATCAGATTTGTTTAGATGCCTGTTCTATTGTTATTTTATTTTATTATTAAATGAACATTTTTCTTTTCTTCCCAGAGGACGCTAAGCAAGTTTTTGGCCAGACCACGATTCATCAGCACATTCCTTTTAACTGGAATTCAGAGTTCGTACAGCTGCATTTCGGAAAGGACAGAAAAAGACACCTAACATACGCGGAGTTCACCCAGTTTTTACTGGTGGGTCTACTACAATGCGCTTGGTCAAGAGTAATAAGAAGGATGCAAGAATCAGAAGTATTTGCAGACTTGCCAGATACCACGCTGGTGGGAAGGCTGAAAGGGAGACCAAGCGTGGGCTTTCACAGTCTGAGTGCTGGAGGTCTGCAGTGTGTTGAGAAGTAGGGTATGCCCATGGTGAAATTGCTGATTCAGGCTAGCTGGGGGGTTTTTTTTTTGTCTTTTGTTTTGGTTTTGGCACCTGTGTGCACAAGGTGATCCTTCCTACTCTAGACAGAGGCATAGAATTAAAACCCTGGACCTGTCTAAGGCTGAGAATCTCCTGTATGTTTAAATCCATGAGTCAAAGATTGTTAAGTAACAGTATTGAACATTTTGGACCCAGTTGCCAGACTGGTGTTAAGAAGTACTTCTGTGAACAGCGTGTTTACCCAGCGTGCATTTCGTTCCGTGCTGATAGCCACTAGAGGTGTTTTGCTGCAAGCCCTTTCCTCACAGTTCTTTACTTTTGACCTTTTTTGAATGACGAGTATCTCAGATAGGGAGCTGCCACTTGGCTTTGCTTGTGGTATATCGAGAATAAAATACTGTCTGTCTTTTGCAAGGAATTCTTGGCTACTCATGCTTTGGGGTACTTTGTAACAGAAAGTAAAATATTGTGCTGATAAAGAAACCAAACAGATCATCTGTGCTTCAGCAGTACTGCTAAAAATAGTCTTCAGTGGGGAAAGTGATCCTTGGAGTGGTGAAACACGTGAGTTTCTTATTTGTATTCCTTCTGAATACTTAATGCCTGTGTTAGTATTTACACTAGAGAGTTTTAAAATGGGAACCTGCTTCAAGACGGCAAGGTTTCTTTTTTTTCTTGTTTACACAAGTATGTTAGTTCACAGTAGGAGGTGGTATCATTTTGATGAGGAATAATTAAGATAATGCTATTGAGACAAATGTTTCAAATTGACTTTGTAGAACAGAGCCTAATTAACTTTGTATGAAGAGGACGTCAGGTATCACATGATTAAATCGTATTCCCTTAGGTTTTGTATTGACTGTTGTAACTCCTAAGACATGCACCAGTTTTGTGACAAAACAGTGAGCTAGAACCTTTTTTGTGTAAAAAGGCAAATGTGTTACTTGATTAGGAAAAAATGCCTCTGGCCATGCGTTCTGGTGGTCTAGTGTCTCCTTCCAGCTACAGAACAAACCCTGGGTGTGTGTCCTGTGGATTAAAATCACAGTCTTAACAGAGTACCAGTCCTGTCTGCCTCATGCGTCTGTTTGTTTAGAGATCTGAGGAAAACCTGATGAAAAAAAGACACTTTTTTGCCAAAAAAAAAAAAAAAGGGGGGGGAGAGTGGTGAGAGGGGTTGGAGCTGCAGACTTAAAAGAGCCTGTAACCTCGTGGCTAGGTGTTTGGGAGATTTGAGTTCTTTCTTTGTGTCTTTGGGTTCTTTTGTGGTTTTTTTTCTTTGAATTAGGAAAAGCAAGAGCTGAGGCAGGAGTTTTCTGACTTTGGAGATGAGTCCCAACTACTACGCTTCCTCATCCTGCGGGGGGTGTTCCTCGTTCCTTGTCTGAAAGGGCTTTTCTTGGATGCGATCGTGTTCTGGGGAGAATTGTATTTGGTTTTGGTGTGTCTTGCCCCTGCCTCTTTGTTTTGTTTTTTACCCAGCTCTACTGCAAAAGTGGCTCTTGGCTAGTCGCAGGGCAGCGGAGGGTTGTGTTGGAACACGTCAGTGCTCCTCGTGAGCCAGACAGCCCTGTTGGTGATCCGTATAGGACAGAGAGAGGGAGGAAGAGCATAAACCTGGAGCCTAAGGATGACGATCCTGGGTGTCCTCTAGAGAGATGCATTCAGGCAAACTTCTAAGGCTGCTGATAAAGATGCTCTCAGCACCGGCGCAGGCAGCAAGGGCTTTCAAATAAATTCGTTATCCCGAGACACCCGACTTTCCCACCTGATTCTTGCCTTGCGGCATTGTATTATAGATACTGAGTTTTGGGCACAGGAATGACTCTCAGCACAAATTGGAGAGTTGATGTTCACAGGGATGGAAATCTTCTTTTAAGCTCTGTAACCTTTGGTGCTCAGCCTTTCCTTCTGACTTTCTGCCTGGGCATGAGTCAGTCTCCTTGGTCTGGCGTCTAGACCTTGGACCTCAGACAGCAGGAGGGCACAGTGGATACCGAGTTCCCTTTCTGCATTCCTGATGTGCGAACGCACTTTACTTTGCGCTTAACATGGACCAGATGCCTCTGCAAGGCGCTTCAGGTACCGCTTTGTAAGCACAATGCAATTTGCGACTTTTAATGAAACAATCCGGCTAGATTCAAATTCATTCACGTCGGGTCCTATTATGCCACATAAAGTTGTTACATATTCATTATCTGTTGCAGCATTTGGGCTAATCATCACTTCTGGCAAAGCTGAAGGTACAGGGAAAATACCATTAGTATATTTTATCCGTGCACAGGATGGATCTCTGCTGGCTTTAAGTAAGAAGAGTTTATATGGGATTCTGAATATTTATATCCTGCCAGCACTTTTTTTTGTCTGCAGTAACAGAGATGCCCAAAAGTACAGCCTGCAAACTGCTTGGCTGTGATACAGTTAACAATCTGTTTGCATCAACCCACGGCTCGAGGTGTGTTGTTCTACCTCACTTCTCATTTTGCTGGCTTAAAATTACTGTGTATCCCTCATGTCTATATTTGTTTGCATGTGGTCGTCTTCCATCATCATTTAGATGGCAAGGCTGCTTCACAAAGAACAACATTGGCCCCTTTTCTCAGCGTGTAAAATCCATTCTGTGGGATGAATTTTAGCATACACTTCCATGTGGGCCTGGTAAATCCACTTCCACATTGTCTAGGAATTTATTTGTGCACAGCCTGTTAGCTGATGAAGTAGTACTCTGTAATTGAAAGCCGGGATCTGCCCACTGAAAGGATTGAGCTGTATCTGGTGACTTGTAGATCTGTTGGGATGGAACCCAGACATAAATTTCTATCTAAGTGGAAAGTACAGGAGCTTCTGATGAGCTGTGAGGTAACATCTCTAGATAGGAAATAATTTCATGAAAATTCTGGTGCCAGCATGCCTGCCATGATGTGCAAATTGATTTTTCACGGAGTCGTGTGCTGCCTGGGGGAATTCTGGACTTCCAGCATCAAGGGAGAAGCTTGTTTTCTAAGTACACCTAAGTTTACAGAAGGTCTAGTCGGTGAAGGTTCTTTAGGGTGTGTAATTTGTATTGCAAAGCAATGAGGATTGTATTTCTTGAAACCTTAATTTGCCTAGGTAAACAATACTGCACTGAAATAGGAGAAACAGTAAAAATTATTGCAAGTCAGCAGCTCTAAACACGACGACTTTGTTGTTTTTCAGTTTGTTGTTAAGATGGTGTTTTTAAGATTAGCTGCAGGCACGCTGCATAGGCGATGTTACGAATGACTCGTGAAGATTTCCCTGATAAATTGGTAGTAGCTACCGAGCCTCATTCTGCACCGTAGTTAGTCATGCCGTGAGGTGTCTCAGCTTCCAGGCTTGGAGACTGAGGAACAGGTCGCCTTCCCTTTGAGTTAAACACTTGGAGGAGTTGATTACGCTGTCATGCAAGGTGCAGTGATCAGAGAAGTGACAGCTGTCGGGCTGCTTTGTGGCAGACTTTACAGGTGAAGTTGGGTTTTGAGACCGAGCGTGTTACCACGTCGCAGCCTGCCTGTGCTTGCGCGCTGCGTCGCTGCCGTGGCCGTGGTTTGGGACCGTCCCGTGGCTGAAGGGCCCTGCGCTGTTTTCTGCTCGGTGCAAGTGGGGATGGCGCAGTGCAGCTCCAGATAACTGTAGCCTAAAAAGACCCTGCCTTCCTGAGAAGGTGGGGTGGGTCTTTCTTGGCAGTGTGCTTAAACCTGTTCCTTTCTGAGCTAGGGAGGAGGTGCGAATAGGGAGCCCCAGGGGCCTGACAGCCCTCTCAGAGTTCTGTCTTGCTGTCTGCCTACAGCAGAGCTGGCGAGAGCATCTGCAAAGGGCAGCACTGAGGCCCTGACCGGGTGTTTATAACCAAGTGGGATAATTCTTCTCTCTAGTGGGTTCCACAGGTACCCGGAATCACGATAGCCAGGAGGGGATGGGGTGTTTTGGCTTGTGGTACTAACAGCCTTCAGGCAATTAGCTGGGTGGCGACAAGAAACAGGCGCTTAACGTGTCCCTGGAACGCGAGCCCCGCTTTGCTTCTGTGGCCGGCCCGTCACCACTGTCACCCAGGGCCCGCCAGTGGTCTGGGTACCTCCAGACTTCTGATGGGGGTTCACAGACGGGACTTCTGCGAGCGGTGTCCGGGTTTTTTGCTTCATTTTAATGCTGGGTTCTGCCAGCACAACGCTGCCAGCCGTTTCAGTGGTTAAAAAAAGTGAATGAGAGCAGGAGAAGAAAGCAGCGTTCAGAGTTTCCCGTGTAATCCTGCTGCTAAACTCGGTTTATTTTTTCTTTGGTGATGGTGCCACTTAATGACAAACCTTTTTGTTTGTCTGTTCATACGTTTCCACCTGCCAGGTGGGTGAGTATTTAGGGATAGCAGAGTTATTGTACGTAACTCCTCTTCAGAGCTCGCTGCCTCCCAAGTGGCAGCCTGCCTCTAGCTGACGAAGGCTTTTTGTGTTCTTGTGCTCCTCCCACCGTAAACCTCCCAAAATTGCTTGCTTCCAAATTTCTGTTGAAATTATAGTCGCAATTGGAGTGAAGCAAGAGCTTCCAGGGCTGCATCCAGCCAGAGTGAATATTGTTGCTGAATTGTAACACCTCCACGTAGGGGGCTGTAGTGTAAAGGAAACGTGACAGAACTGAAATTGTAACTCGTCAAATTATAACCCCCATGAGCGTTTCTCATCAAAAGCAGAAATTTCTGAATAATTCTGTGAGTGGAAATGCAGTGTTGAAACATTGATCAGTCCTTTCCCCCCCCTGCCCCTTTCCTCCTGCCTAGTGTTAGGAGGTTTTCATCATACACCTTTCACGTCAGGGTACAGCGTTGTAATTAGAAATTCGGACTAAAATTGGAGAGGTCAGGGGGCTGCAGGGAAAAGACGAGCGTGGGTTTGAGTGGCAGCATCCATCGGTGGCCGTGGCGTGAGCTGAATGAGCAGGAGGAGGGCGGCAGGTCTGATCCTGCTCCGCCTGAATTTGCCTTTAGCCCTTCGCTGTCTGTTCCCTTGAGAGCTGCTGTGAGATAAATACCGACTTCCAGGAGATCAGATTCACCGTGAGTACATCATGCTGGTGATTCTTGACTAGCCTGGGTCTTGATTAATGTCACTTTTAAGGCATAGATTTGCAAATATAATGGGAATAGCAGGATAGTGGCAGGGTCCGCTGCCAGACTTGCTTCGTGTTGCTGACATACTTTTGCTCTGCTTCTGTTTTCTGAGTAACTGAGTGTGAAAGTTACACATAAATAGCCCATCGAAATTAGATTGTGTGTCACCACGTTTTGTTAAGGACAAGGTACCTTGTAGCATTGCATTATATAAAATCTAACTATTAAGGTGATGATTTTGAACCTAACTTTTCTTTTTTTTTTTTTTTCCCATGTGTTTTTAGGAGATACAGTTAGAACATGCAAAACAAGCTTTTGTGCAGAGAGACAATGCTCAGGCTGGAAGAGTCACAGCTATGGACTTCAGGGACATTATGGTCACCATCCGGCCACACATGCTGACACCGTTTGTAGAAGAATGTCTAGTCGCTGTGAGTAGTTCTGGTATCCCAGCTGGCAAAGGCCTGGGATACGGACACGGGATTCCTTCTTTGTGTGCCTCGGCCACTACCTGTGGCGTGTAGCCTGGCTTTTGGATTCGTGCCTTTAAGTTGATCAGTTGTTATCTGCACATACGGAGGTTAATCCTCGTTGCAGGATCTGTATCCTCAGTGTTCCTGGTCTCCTGAGACAAAGGGCAAAGCAGGTAGATGGACCTTAGTGATGGCCTACAAATGTAGAGTTTGCCCCTTTCCAGTCACTCCATCATAGCAGACTGGGTCAGATATGTCGAAATCCCACTTAGGAAGCCATCCTTCTCAAAGGACTTGCTGTGTAATGTCAGTTCTGAGCTCCTGAGTGTCATTTCCCAGCGCCTGGGACAGTGGATGAACTGGAACGTCGCCCAAGGCCGTTCACTGTGTATTGACTGATAGTTGTTGCACTTGACTGAACGCATTTTTTCAGCTTGAAGTGCTCAAACCAAATTAAATATTACAATTGTGCAATTTCACTGGGGGGAAAAAAAAAAGTTACATTTGGTTTTGACTGCAGTTTCTGATCTTGGGAACTTGTAGCAGCGCTTTCCAAGCAATCCAAAGTCTGACCATATCCAGGTTTAAAGAAATCTGTTCTGCTCTGACTTGCAAGGGAGAATACCAGGGAGGTGTGTGAAGCGATGAGAGCTGCAAACTCTGGACAGAATCTTGGCAGAAGCATACAGCAAAAAGCCTAGCCAGAAGACTTAGAGAATGACAATGGGATCTGATACTTTCTTCCTCGATTCTTTCCCCAGTCTTATTATCAGCTTTCCTGGGTCATATACTCTCTTGTAAAACATAAGATAAGATTTTTGATTCTCCTTCAAGGTCAATTAAATTTTGGCAAGCTTATGCATTGTTTTCAGAAATTTCCTTCATTACCAATCTTTAAATAGGGAATTGATCCAATGATTGTTCTGTGTGCAGACCCAACAGCACTTTAAAATAAAGATTTAGGCTCAGTTCTCGTTTGAGAGTGAATAACTGTTGGAACCTTATTGTTCCCATTTTGTTTGACTGCCTGATATAAGCCCGAGAGCTTACTGCTGGTTTGCCATGACTTGAAACGCCTGTGGATTTAAATGTTGCAGTTGACCTTTTTCAGAATATGTTTTGATTTTTGCTGAAACTTTCTGTATAATAATACACTTTACATGTAGAAGTAGATTTCCTCATTACTAGAAATAAGCCGACTTATGAAACATTTCCAACTGAAGCAGTACTGAAACTTGAACTTTGTAAATTACTACTGGTTATGTTGTTATAATCCTGCATATGTATTTGTTTAGGTTTGTAGGGCGGGGAGAGTTTTACATTCTGGTCGTGATTAGTTTCAGTAACATAAGAATCTTTCAGAGTTTTCTTTATTTTGCAGTTTTTTAAAAAGGCAAGCCTGCACTGCCGTCACTCTTGTAAAATAACATTGTTTGAAAACGTTTATTTCAAGGTTTTTCTTCATCTTGTAACAGTCCCCTTTCTCTTTTCTTCTTTTACTGTCTCTACTCTAGGCTGCTGGAGGTACCACTTCCCATCAGGTCAGCTTTTCCTATTTTAATGGATTTAATTCTCTCCTTAACAACATGGAGCTCATTAGGAAGATCTACAGTACTCTGGCTGGAAACAGAAAAGATGTGGAAGTCACTAAGGGTTGGTAGAAATTTTTGCAGCCTGGAAGTTTCCTTGGGCGTTTGGTTGGGGCGAGTGGAGGGAGAGACCTCATCTGTATGCTTTTAAATCCCGGGGAGGGGGGAGAAAGCCTGCCTCGTTAGCGTTCCTCGGCGCACCGCTCCGTTGTGTAGGCTCCTGTTGGAGTCCACCCTCCAGGTTTTTCCTTTCGTTTCCATCAGCCAAAGGTCCCAGTAAACTGGCGGTGGGGGGCAGGGTGAGGAAAGTATGTAAAGATACTTAAAAGTTTAAAAAACTTCCTAGGACTCCTGCCAAATTGGCAGCCTATTAAAGTGACCTTCAAGGGTAGTTGAAGAATTCCATAAACTTGTATTGGCGGCACGGTAAGCTGATCTACAAGCTTGGAACAAGATGTTATCTGCTCTATCTAACCACTTTTATAGAGAATTCCCTGTGCAACGCCAAAGTTTCATTAATGTGGCCTACTGGGACTATGCATGAAAAGTTCCACATCTCTTGACTCCTGCGTTTTTTTCCTGTTGCTTTTTATTTGATTTTTTTTTTTTTTTCCCTCTGACCTGCAGCTGATTGATACCGTATGTCAGATACCCTAAATCCCGCTGATAGCGCTAAGCTTTAAGACCAGAGAGTTGTACTTCTTTGCATGAAGGGCAGACCATTAAAAACATGCCTTTAAGTAGTGGCAGGAACACTTTTGTGGTGGGTCACTGTTATTCCCCTTCTCCCTCCCCCACACCAGCGTCTTCTGCTTAATACTAGGCTCTGGATTATTTGTTCTGGTTTGGTTAGTTTTTCTCTTCTCTATTTCTGTTCTGTTGCAGAGGAGTTTGTTCTGGCAGCTCAGAAATTTGGTCAGGTTACACCCATGGAAGTTGACATCTTGTTTCAGTTAGCAGATCTCTATGAGCCACGGGGGTAAGTGGAGAATTGTCTGTCCTCCTCTCCTTCCTTCCCTCCTCTCCCCTTGGAAGGAGCGGGAGGTGGTGCTGGGGAGCAGGGGAGTGTGGTGCAGCGGCCGCGTGCAGGTAACTTCTGGTGATCTGAAAGCCCATCTCTAAGCAAGCACTGAGCTGAATCCGTTTCCTCAGCCGCATGACGTTAGCTGACATCGAGAGGATTGCCCCGCTGGAGGAAGGGACCTTGCCCTACAACCTGGCCGAGGCTCAGAGGCAGGTAAGAACAGGAGCCGGTGGGATGCTGTTGTCTGTTCCCAGGGCCAGGTAAGGAGATAGCCAGCCGCCTTCTGTGCTGTCTGCTTTTCTCTTGTGTTCTGTGAGGAATACTGTCTTGGTAGAATTTACTTGTGTCATGTCCTCTCCATCTCTTCCCTCTGCCCCTTTCTCTCGGGCTGCATTTTGACAGGTTAAGTGTAATTTGCTTCGGAACGATAAAATGTACGTGAGTGTCATCCAGCCAGTCAGTAAATATTAGCTGTATTCCTAATTAAGGTGTTTATGTTTTGTGATTCTGTTGCTCTCTGTTCTTTTAATGAGGAAAGAAGACTTCCTGCTTCAAATATGGACGCTGAATTCAGCATCGAGCCTGTTAAGTGGCAGCCCTGGCTCTGCACACAGCGGGCACGTTCTTGGCTTCAGAGCGTCCTCTGCTTTGCCTTATGCTCTTCTGAGTATCAAAATGGGAGAGATTATGTTGAGCCTACCGTTGTGGTTTGAGTAAAAGCGTTACTATTCTCTGCATTTCTGAAAACAAAAGGGTAGTGACTCCCGATGGTGTAAGAGCAAAGGAACTTTTGCTGTGTTTCAGGCAAAAAGAAACAGGAGTGTTCGTTACAGGTCAAACCTGTTGATGTTTTAGTTTTCGTGTTATTTTAGCATATCTTATATTTTCGTTGACACGAGTTTCAGTACAGATAGATTTAAAACTACCCCTGTTTCTCTCTTTCACTGTCTCTATTTTAAGGCAGCCTTAACTTTGTGTCTTGTGAGACTAAGGGGTTTTTTGGTTGGGTTTTTTTTTCCTGCTCTGGGTCTGTGCGGAGACGCCAGTTTGACCACAATGGGTTGATGCAGGCTACATTTTTAGGACTACCAGGCCATAAGCCAGGCCTCTGTGTGTGTGTGTACACACGCGTCTCTTCTGCTTCTCTTTCTTCTTCTCCTCCCTCCCCTCCATGTGAACACCCCCACCACCGCACCGAGGCGGTTTTCTGTTTGTTTGAGCAGTGACTAAATGTTGACTGTGCTGGGATGAATTCAAACTGGTTGGCTCCCAAAAGCTCGCCATCTATTCCTAGAAGACTCCTAAAGGAGTTAAAAAGCGTTTGCGTCGGGCGGGATCTCAAGTAACGGGAGGTACAATAGGTGGCAGTAAAACGTAGCCAGAAACTGCGGTGCTGAAAGTAGCAGCTTCCTCAGGTTTTGCTCTGGGGCCACTGGCTTTGCTAGTGTGATTTATGCCGTTTGAGGAGGCCGGGACATAGGAACCTGCTTGAATCTTACCAGTTCTTCTGCAGATGTGTCCTACCTTTTCGTTTTTCCATCCAGTTCCTTTGTAATGTCGCCTGCTTGATGCCGAGACTGGAAGGATTTTCAGCTGCATTGATACCTTCGATTTGTTTTCTGGCCAACTCCACCTTCTTTGGAATATTAGCTAAAACGTAAACACACTTTCAGGAAAAAATATATCCGTATTTTTGTTTTGTCCTTTTACTTGTAGTATCCTAAAAAAAAGTGTTACAAAAGCGGTGGTACGCATGGAAGGCTCAACGCCCCTGCAGAACTTCTGTTTGCCTCATTCTTCCCTTTCCTCAGATAGCAATTGTAAATCTGGAGCACTTCTGAGATTTGGTTTTCACTGGGTTGAGTCTAGCACTCACGGACTGTGAGCAAAATGAAATTGTGGGGGTGCTTTGTGAAACCTTGTTTTCCTTTAGCTGGTGTGTCTGTACAATGCTTGCGTGCTTGTTTTGGTAGCCTGAGAAGTAATAGGTAATCCTGGTTTTGGTGAAGAAATCCCAAACTGGAGTTGCTTTTGGCTGTAGGAAATTGATAACTTAAGATGCAATATGTGTGCCCTCGTATGCACATTTAGACCATGAATTTAGTGGTTGTATAATTTTGTTGTAGTATCAGCCTTACTTTTCTTTGCTATTCCATCTGAAGAGGCTACCTGACGTGGCACTTAGAGATCAGTGGAAAAGAAGTAGTAATTGAGAAGGAAATCTCCAGTGTATTGTGGGGTTTTGCCCAGGTATCTGCGTGCTTGTGTCGGTCTGCTCATGAGATGTTCTCTCGTGAAATAAGGTGTTCTGATTATTTTTCTCGTCTTTCATTTTGTTTTAAATCCTGCCTTGACAGAAAGCTCCAGGCGATGTGTCTCGACCTGTTCTCATCCAGATTGCAGAGTCAGCGTACAGGTTTGCCCTTGGTTCGGTTGCTGGAGGTTAGTCATGGCTGAGCCAAAGAGCATTCATCTTCACTGCTTGGGGTTTTTCTTCTTTTCTGCTGCCCTTCTGCCCATTCTGCCTTTGGTTTAAGTGGGGAAGGCTTCTGAGTCCTTCCCTTGGAGCCACCTCTAAGGGATGGGATGACCGTAAGGTTGAAGGGGAAGGGGTCATCTGGTCTACAAGAGTTTTGGAGTTTGCAGGTGGTGCTGCTACCTGATTTGTCCCCAAACCAGTTTCAGAAGAAGCAGATTAATAATGAGGTAGGGCCAGGAAGTGCTTTTGGTTAAAACTGTGGGAGGTAGTTCAAATATATCCAGAATATATCATGGAGAAAAAAGATACAACTGGTACTGGAGCTGTAAATCTGGAAGGTGACAGCTGCAGTCAAATAGGGCAAAGGGAAAATCGTGGGTTTTTATACCTTGATTTTTGTTTGCAGCTGTAGGAGCCACTGCAGTCTACCCAATTGACTTGGTAAAAACTCGAATGCAAAACCAGCGCTCTACAGGCTCTTTTGTGGGAGAACTTATGTACAAAAACAGCTTTGATTGCTTCAAGAAAGTGCTACGTTATGAAGGTTTCTTTGGGCTTTACAGAGGTAAGTGTAACAGGTGGTACATACAAAGGATAAGATACTGATAAGAGTTCAGTGGGACTCTGGATTTTTAAGCCTTTTTCGTTAAGACTTCATTTTTGCCTGGTTTGTGCTTTTGCTTCTACTCAGTTGTAAGTGAAGGGTTTGCAAACTCCTTGATAATGAACACCTCATTGTAACGAGAGCATTTCTGTAGGACTGTCTGTCCTTTCCTTCCTCTTCTGCAGTGGGGCAACAACAGCAATTTCCTACAGCAAAACTACACTGTTGGTCACGTTTCCATTTCCTTAGCAGTCCTTAGTACCAAGAATGATTTGTCCTGTTTGGGAAGGAGTTAGATCATCCAGTTTTGGCTTTTGTTTCAGTGTTGTTTGTTACTTCTTTTCTTTCTGTTTAAAAACGGAGAGAAAATATGGTACCTTGTTATTAACCAGATCTCTTTTTATGATACCCTCCGTGACAAAGAGGTCACTGAACCAGCTGCATGTGCTTCACTGACCGTTGGGAATAGTCGTCTTTAGCAAGTTCCCTGTGTGCCTCTTCCTAGCTTGTCGCCGTGGGGTCAGCCAGCGAGATGAGCTGGCGTTCCACCCGCTCTGTCTGTGTAACCCCAGTCACCCAGTTAGCTCTTCCAAGTGTCCCTTGCAGCCAGTTCTGGAGAAAGCTCCAGAAGCTCATTTACTCTGTTCAGGGTGTAAATCATCCTCGCTTTGGATAAGTGCCTGCAGCTGGATGGTGGCTTTTCTTTCTTTTTTGTTTTAAATTTTGTCCTTGTCCCAGTTGTGGCACCAAAGGTGTGAGTTCAGGTATCGCAGAGGTGATCACCAAGAGTCATGAACTGCCCCTGAGTCTGCGGTTCTCCTCTGTCACAGAGATGAAGCAAATTATATTTCTGGCGCCCCAGTTATCGAGATCTCTTGTTATATCCTCTGCTTTATTCATTGGGGAGGATTTGAAACGTGTGTTACTTCGTTTTCAGCCAGCTTGCTTAGAAACTTTTTTTAACTTTGGAAAATAAGAATGTTGTAATGACAGAAATTCATTGCAAAAAGCAGTTGAGTCGGGAAGGAAGAG